GATGTTAATTATAATTTTTATTTCGTTTCTGCACTTAAAACTTTTAATACATTCATTTCTTTTAAATTTTTGTGGCCGTTACAAATTATATTATAATATTCTTTTATAGTAAGTAATATTTCATCATAGTGAATATTTAATTCCATATAAATACATAGTTAGAAATAATAAATTAATTATTGTCCCTTTAAAAAATATTAATAAATTGGTAAAATTATATATAAATATTTTAATTAATAAATATATATATATATATTATGTTTTTATTTATACAAGTCTAAACTAAACAACAAATGAATTAGTTAAAACTTAACTTGGTAAATAATAGCACAATTATCTTTAAAGCGAAAAGATGATTATTACATTGAAAGCAATCCTACTTATGATCCTCCACCATCAATTAGGATTATTTCTCTAATAATTACAATTACAAAATAATCAATTGTTCAACAAATAAAAGATTGTAATAAATTTATATGCTAGTAGTAAACATTACTTTTTTTTTTTTACATATTCTTATTATATAGAATAAATTAAATGTGTTGTACTAGTTTTTAGATATAACTAAACTAAATTTATTTTTCTTATCTAGATCTCTAAAATCTTAGAAAATGCTTGTAATATTTTCTTTAGTTTAAGTTTATTTTTATAAAGTAAAAGAAATAATTTGTTATAAAATATACAATTAATTAAAGAATTTGGGATTTTAATGAGACACACCTCTTCAAAGTCTTGTTTCATTAAAAACCCAAATTTAAAACTCATTACAAACACACAAGTCCACAAACTCCATTTCATTTTGAACTCGCGATCACATTAACCTCCCAAACGGCGTCGTTCGGAAGGATTTTTCTTTTTCTCATTTAAGTATAAAAATATATTTATGATATTTCAATTGCTTGAATCTTTATTCTTCGTCTCTTTTGTTTTTTTTCCTCCTCACACTTGGTTTTATAATATTTTTATTTTTGTTATTATTTTTTTCAATTCTTATTTTAGTATAATATTACATTTTACTATCCAAATATAAAGTAATTATTTATTTAATTTAATTATTATACTACATTTTATAAAGTAAAATATTGCATTGTTTTGTATCTAACTCGTAATATTTTTCTGGACCATATTGATTTAATATTATTTTTTGTTTGAAATATATCAAGTATTTAAAAAATTGTATATAATAAACTAATTTATTCTATTTTTATTTAGTAAATGACAGATATATAAAATACATATATTTTAAAGTATATAATTGTATTCATAGAAAACAAAATTGTCTAGTATATAATAAATTAGAATTATATTACATTTTTTATGATTTTGATTTACAACACTTTTAATTAGTTTTAGTTTAGTTAACGTAATTTTTTTTTTTGACAAACACGTAATATTAGTTTGTCCAAATAAATTAATTTATACAAAAATAATAATAAATTTAATTATTATGAACTCAAGTCCTCAGAGATAACAAATATAAATAAAATGTATCATCAAATTATTTGTATGTAGTAAAAATATTTTAAAATAAAATTAATATAAATAAATGTGGTAAATTTGAAAAGTTAAAGAAAAATTAAGTTTATCAAAACTTTAGAATAATTTTGTCATACCATATACTAAGAATTAAATTGTTTCATAAATGATGAACTTCTCTTATGTTTTAAAAAAACTGTTCTCCACAAAAAATGGGACTAGACTATTTTACTATGTCAAATTTTAAAATGTTTATCATACTAGATTTTATATTAGTTAATTTATTAATATCTTTATGTATAAATAGTAATGTTTTTACTTAATTACTTATGAATAAATTAAACAAGAAAACCTCATTAAGATAATTAATCAAACTCATTTTGACTTTTTGTATTTTATATAATTAATGTAATAACTTTTATTAGTACATTTATAATCTATTTACATCTAATGTCTAATTATTTAAATTACATTATTTAAGAAATACTACATCTAGATCACATACAAAAACAATACAATAAATTTAAATATAATTAATACAAATGATAATAAATTCAGTTTGAATTTAATACTAAATAAAAGTAATATGAGTTAAATGTAAAATAATAATAACATTTTACTATGTAAAAATAAAATTTTATAATTACATATAAAAAAATATAAACTTATAATAATAAATTAAATGTCAAAAAGCTTATAACCAATTAAGTTATTAATAAGCTCATGATAAATAATTAATATTTACATTCATTTTAAATATTACTAACTCAATTCTATTACTTGGCGTAAAAACTTAATATGGTCATGTAATTAATAATATATCAAATACAATATTTTGAAAATA